TCACAAGTTAATACAAGTAGATAGTTATCACAGGTTAGCGATGGGTGTACCGACCGGTAAAAACGTCGAGGCGATGGACGTAGACGTGAATCCATCGGACACGCAGAACGGCGACGGTGACGGCGCAGGTGAACGCAGGGACACCGATATGCAGATTTTGTGCGACATTCGGGAGCACACGCGGCAAATCGAGAAGGCGGTGCAGAACAAGGAGCCACGTTTCGTGCTCCGTGCCCTTCGCGCCTTACCCAACACTCGTCGTCGTCTCAATCCGGTCGTGCTCCGCGGCCTCGTCACGGGCTTCTACACCAAGTCCGTTGTTGAAAGGGACGCCCTGCTCGCTTGGGTGGAGGAACCGATGGACGTGGACGACTGCCAGGCCATCACCCAGAAGTTCCGCAGTTCCTCGGCATCTCTATTGCCCGAGATCGACGGCTACATTCATTTGCTGGTGCTGATTCGACTAATCGACACCGGCAAGTACAACGAGGCGGTGCAGTGCTCGGAGCAGTTGATCCAGAAAATTGCCGCACAGAACCGTAGGACCATAGACCTGATCGCTGCCAAATGCTACTTCTATCACTCGCGCGCGTACGAGCTAACGGATCAGCTGGACAAGATCCGCGGCTTTCTACATCTTCGTCTACGTACTGCAACTCTGCGCAACGACTTCGAGGGCCAGGCGGTGCTGATCAATTGCTTGTTGCGCAACTATCTGCATTACAATCTCTACGATCAAGCGGACAAACTGGTGCTCAAGTCAACTTTTCCCGAATCTGCCAGCAACAACGAGTGGGCTCGCTTTCTCTATTATCTGGGCAGGATAAAAGCCGCTAGATTGGAGTACTCGGCCGCGCACAAGTATCTAGTACAGGCGATGCGCAAAGCGCCGCAGACTACGGCGGTTGGATTTAGACAAACGGTACAGAAGTTGGCGGTAGCCGTGGAGCTTCTTCTTGGCGACATCCCAGAGAGACAGATATTCCGGCAGGCCGCTCTACGAAGAGCCCTTGCCCCATACTTCCAATTGACACAGGCGGTACGTCTAGGTAACTTGCAACGTTTCGGTGAGGTCCTGGAGAACTTTGGTCCGCAGTTCCGCGCCGATCACACATTCACGCTGATCCTGCGGCTGCGGCACAATGTTATCAAGACCGCGATTCGTTCGATCGGACTCTCCTATTCTCGCATCTCGCCAGCTGACATTGCTCGCAAACTGGGCTTGGACTCTAGCGTGGATGCGGAGTTTATTGTGGCTAAGGCGATCCGCGACGGGGTTATTGAGGCTACCTTGGACCCAGAGAACGGCTACATGCGCAGCAAAGAGACCACCGACATTTACTGCACCAAGGAGCCCCTGTTGGCCTTCCATCAAAGAATCACCTTCTGCCTAGACCTGCACAATCAGAGCGTGAAAGCGATGCGTTACCCACCGAAATCTTACGGGAAGGATTTGGA